CAATTTAATTCAAGCGAATTCCTCCCTTCCTGGAATTTCATTCCTACGAGGTGTGACGGCAGAATGCTACCCGCGTCAACGCTAGTACGTTACCACTCCAACATTAGGCAAACGCTGTCGAGCCATAACTTCGTAATGGTAGAACTTTTCGCGAGGCAATTTGGTTAATTTTAAAACTCTTGGAGCGAGCTTCGATATAGGAAATTTTCAGCTTAATCCGATCAACGGTCTGCACAATACGATGCGCGACGTTCAAGGAACTCTTGCTGTTTTGACTAAGTCCCTCTTGATCCCTCTCTCTACAAACTCGGACCCGAGGATAGGGGCTGGTCTTGTACCAGGCACCCAAGGACCCTTGGAGGTGATCCCGAGGAGATGTTTTAGGTTTGATAAAGTCTTAATAGCTTGAGTATATTAGGCCCTTACACCAACAAGTACCGCACTTACTATTTAGTATAGAACATACGGGTAAATGATAATCTTGATCTTAGTACCTACCATATGTGTAAGTAACGTACTTGCTCCTAGTACCTAACATATTGGTTAGTAAAGCACTTGCTCTCAGCACCAACCACATGGGTAAGTATCGCACTTGCTCTTAGTACCAAATGTATGGGAAATTAATGCATTCTTGCTTTTCGTACCAACCATATGGTTAGTAACGCAAGCGCTCTTAGTACGGACCATATGGGTAAGTACCATATTTACTTTTTGTACAAACCACTTGGGTAAGTATCAACTATATAACTCTTAGTAACATCCATAGGGGTAAGTAACACACTTACTCTAAGTACGAACAATATGGGTAAGCAACTAACTTACTCTTTTTGCCAACCATATTTGTGAGCAACGCGCTTACTCTTAGTACCAACTGTATAGGTAAGAAACACATTTACTCTTACCAACCAAATGTGTAAGTAGCACACTGACTCTTAGTACCAACTATATGATTAAGCAACGCACATACTCTTACTACCAACCATTCAAGTAAGCAATGCACATACTACTAGTATCAAGCATATGGGCATTCAACCAGCTCCCGCGTGCCCATGCCGATGAGGCTGTGGATCAGCTCGTCCATGGCGGCCTTTGCCGCCTTGACAACGTCTTCTTCACTGTCATCGTTGCGATGTCACTGCGGTGGTCGGGGTTGGCGAGTATGTCGAGGTCAAGCTCTAACAGTTGGTCACCGGCCTCAGCGTCGTCGAGCAGCGTGGTGAAGGCAGGCATGAAAGATCAGCCGCTCCGACGGCTTCCGACTTCGGCCTCATGGACGCAATTCCGGCTTCTAGATCAGAACCTCCACAACGTCGCTGTCACTAGACTCCTCCCATGCCGATAATGCCTGGTTCAAACCACTTTGCACGACATCATGCCATCTGTTTGTGCGAGTATGTGTATACGAATCCATTTGCGTATCAATGATGTGCATCCGTGTTTCTTTGCTTTCGCAATTTTTTTTGGATGCATTTGCAGGTACTACGCTCTATCTGGATGCATTTGCAGGTACTACGCTCTATGAAGGGTGCAAGCGGAAATGACAAACTCGCAAATAAGATGGCAGCTTTGTGGTTCTATTTAATTGATCACGCACATTCAGTTCTATCCAACTCGAAATTTTACCGTTTTGTTATTTTGTATATACTATAGCAGGGCAGGCACTATAGGGGTACATTTTAGGTGAAGGTGGGATGTTTTTTTGTCTGTATCTGCATGCTACAGGGCCAGGCGAAACAATCAGAACCAGAATATGGCTGCTTAGACCGGAACCTAGTTGTTTTTTTTGCAGGTTGGAAAAACGGAACTAGAGGTTGTTTACCAACCTACCACCTGCTATTTTGTCTAGCCAGGCTGGTTCTATTGCTTGGAATTATTTGGGATCATCCCTAGTGGTTACCAGGTTGATTTCCAAGGTCCTTCGTAGGTATAACTATTTACTCATTCTCTCTTTGTACCTAGACAAAGTCAAATTGAATCAAGCCTATTCCTTCCTTGCTGGAATTTTGTTTGTACGCGGTTGGACGGTGGAATGTTACCTGAGTCAACGCTAGTACGCTAGCACTACGACGCTAGGCCAATGGTGTCCGAGCCATAACTCCGTAATGGCAGAACATTTCACAAGGAACTTGACTTATTTTAAAGCTCATGGAGCGAGCTTTGATATAGGAAATTCTCAGCTTCATCCAATCAACGGCCTGCACAATACGTTGCGCGACGTTCAAGGTACTCTTGCTAATTTGGCTAAGTCGTTCTTGACCCCTTTCTCTACAAATTCGGACCCAAGGATAGGGGCTGGTCTTGTACCACGCACCAAAGGACCTGTGGAGGTGACCCCGAGGAGAGGTTTTAAGTTTGATTAAGTCTTAGTAGCTTGAGTTTATTAGGTGCTAATGAACTTTACGGTCGAGAAGTTTAATGGTGAGGGATATAATGATTGGGCCTGGAAAGTGCAATTGCATTTCCGTCAGATTGGATTGCTCAAACTAATCATTGGGGAGGAGCCTAGACCGAGTGACCCCACACTGCAGGAAGAATGGGGCGACACTTATCGACTGGCTACTACTTAATGTCGTAGGGTTCGGATCTGAACCTGCGACACCACGTCATGCACCTGCTGCAGGAGGTTAAGTGCTGTCCGAAGGCATGGACCATGTTGAAGGAGCTGCATACCCCAACTTCCATTGTCGCAACGTTGATGCTGGAGCGGTAGCTGTCCGAGTTGCGCTTAAGCAAAAGAGAGCCGGTGCAACCTATCTTGGACAAGATGCGCGACCTCTACGCGAAGTTGACGACCGCGGAAATAACCTACCCGGAGCAGACCAAGTGCTTAAAGATGCTCTCGCTGCTGCCAGAATTGTGGCTTCAATCCACGAGCAGATTGAGCCTACCGCAGAACTAGAGCTCGTGGACGCTCGAGTGGGTGCGGACAAAGATTCTGGAAGATGACTTCCGTCGCCGCCGATCTGGGTGGAGACGAAAGCAACAGCGGCTACGGAATGAAAGGAGGCAAACGTGGCAGATGATGTGTCTTTGGTGGTATTGGGCGCGGTGCAAAGAAAGACGACGACTCCAACGATAATAAAGGAGGTGATAGAAATAGAGCTGAACTGATTGATTAGTCGAAAAGGTACTAGGCTTTAAGTACAAACTAGGTTGGGTTGAGCAAAACTAGGGAAAGGATGGGATGAAAATCCTAGGAAATCTCCAATTGGTGAGTTGGAGGATTTGCATGATACCAAGGGAATCCCAACCAGATAGGGTTGGGATTACAAACTATACCCAATCCACAAATAACATACGAGATATAGAATGTAGTACACATATTGTTGACGACCTATTTCTAACATACCCCCTAGGCTGCAACACATCAGCCACAAGGAGGCCCAATACCCATGGCCGAGAGGAGGCGGTAATTGTCCTGGCGAACAAGCGACTTGGTAAACAAGTCAGCAAGGTTGCAAGCGGAGGCAATGTGTTCAGCCTTCAGCTGCTCGCGCTGCACCAGCCCAGCCCACGAAGAAAGAAGTGACGGACTTCAATGTGCTTGGTGCGGCCGTAGAAAACGGGGTCCTTGGTGAGATGAATGGTGCTTTCATTGTGACACCAAAGCGTTGGGGTTGGTTGAGGATACCCCAGTTCAGTTAGCAGGAATGAGAGCCAACGAGCCTCATGGGCAGCCATGGTCCCAGCATACAGCTCTGCCTCGCAGGTCAATAGTGAGACTGAGGACGACCACGTGGAGCGCCAACTTACAACCCCACTTCCAAGGGTAAAGAAATACCCTTGGGAAGAGCGCCGATCACTCTGGTCATCAGTATAGGATGAGTCACTATACCCCTCAAGGCGAAAAGGGGAAGAGCCGCCAAGTGTGAGCACATAATCCTGTGTGCCCTTGAGATAGCGAAGGACCTGCTTGGGGGCAGACCAGTGGTGGCGAGTGAAGCGATCGGGTGCAACGTAGCGAGACAGTACACTGACTGGGTAGGCCAAGTCTGGTCGAGTGCATATCATCGCGTATATGAGGGATCCAACAAGCTCGGGATAAGGCTCATCACAGGGCTTAGGTGAGGGAATAGAAGGTGCAATTAATTGGTGTTGCAGAGAGAGTGGGGTAGGCATTGATGCTGCTTCTTGCATCTTGAACCTCGTTAGAACATTGTTGATGTAAAACTTCTACGAATATGTGATGGAGTGGGCCGTGCGATCACGTGTGATTTCCCTGCAGAGATGGTTTGTCAGCTTCACAAGATCCTTCATGGCCAGCTTCTCACCAAATGCGGTTTTGACTGCAGCCAACTCAGTCTAATCCTTGGTGACAAGGATCATGTCATCGACATAAACCAGAATGAAGAAGCTGGATGATGTTGCTCGGATGAAGCGGCTGGGATCAGAGGTGGATGGATGAAAGTCGAGGGACCCTAAGATGCTCTTCAGCTTGTTGTGCCATTCCCGGGGTGCTTGCTTGATGCCTTACACTGGTCGTTCAGCTTCCATACAATGCCTGGCGGAAAAGGAGCTGGAAATCTTTTGGGCCGCTCCATATAGATCTCCTCTCGAAGGATCCCTTGCAGAAATGCAGAAGACACATGCATGCAGTCAACCTCCATATCATGCCGGACAGCAATGTCGAGAAGGGTGTCTACTGTGGGAGGTTTGGCGGTGAGAGAGGATGTTTCAAAGAAGTCCAGCCCATGCTTTTCGGTGAATCCCCTAGCACAGTACCGGGCCTTGAAGACAGGAATTTTTCTGGAATCTGTTTCACCCGAAAACCCCATTTTCCCTTCACAATGTTGACGTCAGAGGGAGGAGAGACATCTGTGAAAGTTCCAGTGTGAATATAGGCCTCACATTCTGCGACAATGGCCCCTAACCATTGGGCGGTGTGAGGACCAGAGACTGCTTCAGCATACCTGGAAATAGGTGTGGGGATGGAGGGGTTGTCAGAGAAATTGAGAGTGGGAGAGTCTGCGATATCTGGAAAGAGGAAGCAAAACAAGTATATGGCAGAGTTGATATCTATTAACTCCTCATGTCTGTCTTCAAGGAGGGAGGGCATGAGAGAATAATCACCCCCGACAGGAGGAGGATTGAGGGAGATGTGAACAGAAAGGGAGAGCGGCTTCGGGGCTGTATGAGAGCGTGTACAAGAAGTGATGGGGAAGGGAGCCAGAGCTGGAGGAGTAGTATCTGTTGGTGTAAGTGCTAATAATCTCAAGCTATCAAGACTTCATCAAACTTAAAACCTCTCCTTGGGGTCACCTCCAAGGGTCCTTGGGTGCCTCATACAAGACCAGCCCCTATCATCGGGTCCGAGTTTGTAGAGAGAGGGATCAAGAGGAACTAAGTCAAAACAGCAAGAGTACCTTGAACGTCGCGCAGCGTATCGTGCAGACCGTGGATCGTATTAAGCTGAGAATTTCCTATATCGAATCTCGCTCCAAGAGCTTTAAAATGAACCAAGTTGCCATTACGAAGTTATGGCTCGGACAGCGTTTGCCTAGTGTTGGACTGCTAACGTACTAGCGTTCACTCGGGTAGCATTCCGCCGTCGCATCGCGTAGAAACGAAATTCAAGGAAGGGAGGAATTCGCTTGAATCAAATTGACTATATCCAGGTACAAACAGAGAAGGAATAAATAGTGATAGCTAGCAAGGACCTTGGGAATAAACCTGGGAACAACCAGGGATGATCCCAAATAATTCCAAGCAACAGAACCAACCTGGCTAGACAAAACAGCAGGTGGTAGGTTGGTAAACAACCTCTGGTTCTGTTTTTCCAACCTGGGAAAACAACAACCAGGTTCAGGTCCTAAAAACAGAACCTGTTTCGTCTTTGTCCAACCAGCCAAAAGCTGGTTCTACTGGTTTCCCCTGGCCCTGTAGCATGCAGATACAGACAAACAATATCCAACCTTCACCTAAATTGTACCCCTATAGTGCCTGCCCTGCTACACTAAAGTCAACCAAACAAAACAGTACAATTTCGAGTTGCATAGAACTAGATCTGCACAATCAATTCAACCGAACCGCAAAGCTTTCATCTTGGGTTCCTTTGCGAGCTCGTCCTTTATGCTTGTACTGTTCATAGCGCATACAATGTTGTGCCGGAGCGCACAACGCACGAGTACCTGCAAATGCTTCAAGCAAAAATTGCGAAAGCAAACAAACACACGAACATTCCATTCACACGCATACTCGTACAAACAGACGGCAGGATGTCGTGCAATGTGAATTTGCACCCAACTGTATCGGTATTGGAGGTGGTAGTGGAAAGAAGAGCAGGATCAGGAGCTGGAGCAAGAACAAGAGGACCAGGAGCCGGAGAGCGGCGGTGGAAGGTTTTGAGAGGAGGAGGCTCGGAAAGAGGAGCGGGAGCAGGAGCAAGAGCCAGAGCAGGAGGAGAGGAAAGAGGGGGAGCTTGTGGGGGAGGGGAGAGGGAGGGAAAGAGCGGAGGAGACTGCATGGTGCTGGAGGGGCAAGTGGGTGGTGGCGGGTCAGAGACGGTGGAGGGAGCAGGAAGAGTAGGATATGAACTGGCAGGAGGAGGAAGACTGTCAAAGTCAGCCCAAGTAAGAGAAGGTGGCGGAGGAGAGGGGGAAGCTTTGGTGGAGGGATAAAATGTATGAGACTCATAAAAAAACACGTCCCGGCTACGGTAAAGTTTGTTGGTGGAAGGATGGAGGAAGAGATAGTATGGCGAATCTGAGTTGCGCCCGAGGTATACGCACGTGATTTTTATAAGAGCAAGTTTGCCGCCAGCTGCACGACGGGCTTGGGAGTTGAAGAGGATATAGGAAGTACACTCCCATACACATAGAAGCTGGACGGACGGCTTTTGACTCGTCTACAGCTCAGCGGGGGTTGTGTGGGTGTGATGAGGATGGGGATGGAGATTGTGGAGGGCGGTAGTGTGGAGCATGGCATATCCATAAAAAGAGGGAGGGGCGAGGCGTGAGTGAGGAGGCAACGAGCAATCTGCACTAAGATGCGGTTCCGACTCTCGGCAACACCGTTGTATTGGAGACTGTCTAGAAGAGTGAAGGTCTGAAGGATACCCTCAATAGAACAGAAAGCTTTGAGAGTGGGCATATCCACTGAAACAAAAGGACCATGCCACCTCTACGATACGCAATGATTGGCTGCCATTCGTGGAGAAGCAAGCGGAATGTGTGGTGAAGCGGATTAGGACAGATCGGGGTGGTGAGTTCCTTGGAGCTGAGATGACGGCCTGGCTCAAGAAGCAGGGCATCCAGAGGAAGCTGACCACGGCTTACACCCCACAGTCCAACGGTGTAGCAGAACGGGCGAACCGGACAATTCTGGAGACAGCTAGGGCGCTGCTCATAGAATCTGGGCTGGGCAACTCGATGGGCCCCATGCTGTTCGACACGCTACCGTCGCTAGGAACAGGGTACTCACAAAGGTTGGGGATGACTCGTGGGTGCCGTTGGAGAGGTGGCTTGGGAGGAAGCCGCCAGTGGACATGCTGAGGGTGTTCGGTTGCATGGTAATCGCCCACGTCCCCAAGACATACAGCAGTAAGTTGGGGGCAAGTGCAATCTGGTGTGTGCATTTGGGGTTGGCTGCTGAGAGCAAGGGATAGCTGCTGTGGGAACCATCCAAGGGTGTGTTGTTTGACAGCAGGGATGTGAAGTTTGTTGAGGGCATGATGTATGGGAGCTGGGAGAAACAGCCGGAGGCCAGGGTGTCCCAGCAAATGGAGCAGATCACCATGCAGCTGGACCTGACTCCTAGTGTGGGAGGAGGGAGAGGAGGCAGCTGCAGAGGGTGGTGATGGAGAGAAGGTGCAGGAGGGACCTGCCGGTGAAAACAATGGTGTGGAGACTAGCCGTAGCACTAGTGGAGCTGCTGGATCCGAGGGAGGAGAGCAGCAGCAGGGGAAAACTAAGAAGCCGAAGGGTGTTGTAATGAAGGGATGGGAGACACCCATCTCCAGGCCAGGACGTACCCGTATGGCTACGAAGAAGTTGACTTCAATAGCTGATGTAGCAGAGCAGCAGCTTGGGACAGAGGAGGCATTGCTGATTCTACCTCATGGCTATGACCCGGATGAGGAGGATGAACCTGCCTACTGTTTTCTTGCCCCTGCACCAGAGGAACCAGCTAGCATGGAGGAGGCATTAGCTGGACCAGATAGGGAGAAGTGGCTGGTTTGTAGGGATGCTGAGTACCAGAGCCTGCTAGAGAATGGGACATGGGATCTGGTGGTGCTGCCTGATGGGAAGAAAGCTGTACAGTGCAAGTGGGTGCTAAGGATCAAGACCGATGACAAGGGACGGGTCACCATCTACAAGAGTAGGCTGGTGGCTAAGGGGTTTATGCAGAAGGAGAAGCGGGACTTCAATGAGATTTTTGCTCCCACTGCCAAACCCCCTACCCTTCGTGTCTTGTTGGCAGATGCAACCGTTAGTGGGAAATGCATCATTCAGACGGATATATCAACAGCATTCCTCAATGGGATTTTAGAGGAGGATGTGTACATGACGCAGCCGCCTGGGTATGAGGATGGTACAGGCAGGGTGTGCAAGCTGAAAAACTCCATCTACGGCTTGAAGCAGGTGCCCCGCTGCTGGTACCAGAAGTTGGCAGCGGTTTTAGAGGAGATGGGATTCAGGACCAGCAGCTGTGATGAGAGCCTCTTTCTCAAGGGGGAGGGGGAGAAGCTGGTGCTGTTTCTGGTCTATGTGGACGACATTCTTCTCTTTAGCAGCAGCATGAAGGACATCCAGAATGTGCAGCAGCAGCTGATGGAGGACTTCAATTGCAAGAACCTTGGGGAGGTAGAGTACTACCTCGGGATGCACGTGGAGAGGGATCTCGATCACAGGTCGTTGAAGCTGTACCATGAGAAGTTCATCAAGGAGTTGGGAGAGAAGTATGGGATTGAGAATGAGCGCAAGGTTGCAACTCCCCTGCTAGCAGAATTCAAGCTTGTGAAATCTGCAGAGGATGAAGGGGTTGAAGCCGAGGCGCAGCAGCAATTTCTGTCCTTGGTGGGCAGCCTCTTGTATGCAGCAGTTCACACAAGGCCCGACATCTCTTTCTCGGTAGGGCAGCTGGCTAGGGTGGTGCAGAATCCATCAGAGGAGCAGGTGGATGCAGCTGAGCATGTGGTGAAGTATCTGAACTCTCACCCAAGCATTGGAGTTCAATACTCCGCATCTGCACAGGTGAAGCAGAAAGGGGTTGAGGTGCTGAAAGAGAAAGGGAAGCGGCTTGGAGAAGGCAAGCTGTTTCTCACTTGCTTTACTGATGCTACGTGGGCCTTGAGAAGGAGGACTCCTCATCTGTAGGAGGATACATCTGCGTATCTGGGAGTGGACCTGTTAGATGGAGGTCAAAGAAGCAAACTGAGACGGCACTCCCGTGGAATCAGAGTACATGGCGATGTTCCATGGTGTGAAGGAAGTGATTTGGCTGTGGAGGCTGTTAGAGGAGATTGGCCAGGAGCAGAAGGTTGCTACGCCGCTGTTTTGTGATAGCAAGGGGGCTCTTGGGATGGCCAGGAACGCTGTGCTTCATGGGCTGAAGAAGCATATGCGTATCAGGTAGCACTGGCTGCATAAGGAGGTGAAGAGGGGGACGGTGAATCCGATCTACATCAAGACTCACCAGCAGCCAGCAGACTTCCTCACCAAGAGGCTTGCGGATGAGCCACATTGGCGTTGTGTGCGCATGAGTGGAATGAGCATGAACTAGCATGGAATGATGGGGATGCAGCCGGCAGGCTGAGAGGGAGTGTGTTGGGTGCAAATTCACATTGCACGACATCTTGTCGTCTGTTTGTATGAGTATGCATGTGCGAATGCATTTGGGTGTGAATGGAATGTTCGTGTGTTTGTTTGCTTTCGCAATTTTCGCTTGAAGCATTTGTAGGTACTCGCGCGTTGTGCGCTTCGGCACAACATTGTACGCGCTATGAACAGTACAAGCAGAAAGGACGAGCTCGCAAACAAACCCAAGATGGAAGCTTTGCGGTTCGGTCGAATTGATTGTGCAGATTCAGTTCTATCCAACTCGAAATTGTACTGTTTTGTTTGGTTGACTATAGTGTAGTAGGGCAGGCACTATAGGGGTACAATTTAGGTGAAGGTTGGATGTTGTTTGTCTATATCTGCATGCTACAGGGCCAGGGGAAACCAGCGGAACCAGCATTTGGCTGGTTGGGCAAAGACAAAACAGGTTCTGTTTTTAGGACCTGAAACTGGTTGTTGTTTTCCCAGGTTGGAAAAACAGAACCAGAGGTTGTTCACCAACCTACCACCTGCTATTTTGTCTAGCCAGGTTGGTTCTGTTGCTTGGAATTATTTGGGATGATCCCTGGTTGTTCCCAGGTTCATTCCCAAGGTCCTTGCTAGCTAGAACTATTTATTCCTTCTCTGTTTGTACCTGGATATAATCAATTTGATTCAAGCGAATTCCTCCCTTCCTGGAAATTTGTCTCTACGCGATGCGACAGCGGAATGCTACTCGAGTCAACGCCAGTACGCTAGCACTCCAACACTAGGCAAACGCTGTCCGAGCCATAACTTCGTAATGGCATAAGTTTTCGCGGGGCAACTTGCCTCATTTTAAAGCTCTTGGAGCGCGCTTCGATTTAGGAAGTTCTCTGCTTAATCCGATCGACGGTCTGCATGATACGTTGCGCGAGGTTCAAGGTACTCTTGCTGTTTCGACTTAGTCCCTCTTGATCCCTCTCTCTACAAACTCGGACCCGAGGATAGGGGCTGGTCTTGTAACCGGCACCCAAGGACCCTTGGAGTTGATCCCGAGGAGAGGTTTTAAGTCTGATAAAGTCTTAATAGCTTGAGTTTATTAAGCCCTCACACCAACAGGTTGGAGGTAGGAGAGGGAAGTTAGGTTGGAATTCTGTGGAGGAGTTGTTTTGTGGGAAGGTCTGAGAGCGCGTGGAAGTTGATGTTGGTGAGGCGGTGACAAAAGAGCATGGTTTTGTCGGAAAGGAGATGGCAGTGACACATGGAGGAGTTTGAGGAAGGGAGCGGAAGCTGGATGAATGAGCCGGTTTGAATGAGAATTACAACAAGCGTGTAGAGATTGTTGGAGTTGAGGGTGAAGCGGGCTAGACGAATGCCGGTTTTGGCGTCAAAGAGGTCATAGTAGTTGACATCATTAAGAAAGAGGGCGATCACTCCTGTATGTTGGATTTCAAGCTGTGCAAGGAGGTTGTAACGGAGGGTCGGGGCGCAGATGTCAATGATTATGTTGGATGGAAGGGCTGGACAAGGAACTGTGGAGGATCCATGGCATTGGATGGAGAAGCTAGAATCGGCTCCATGGAGTGGAGTGGAAGCCTGGTAGGGAGCGAATGCGGTTTGGTATTGAGCACTGTGTGGGTGGCACCACATTCCACTATGAACTCGATCCCATGTGTGTTTGAAACACTGATGTACTATGATTCCTTCTCATTAATAGTACTAGCACCAGAGAACAACAAATTGAGGCGAACATCAGATGGGGCGCTAGCAAGTGCCTGAGCAGGTTCCTCTACTGCCCCGACCTCGTTCACGCAACAGGGAGGGGCCCAGTTGGGAGGACGCTTATTGGTAGAGACACCGTGGACGTCATACCACTCGTCATATCGCTTCTTGAAGCAAGTTGCCTCAAGGTGGTTGGTGCCTCCGCATTTCTGCTCTGCATGTGGACTGTTCCTAATAATGTAGGGGCATGGAGGAAATGAGTTGGGCTCCGGTCCCTGCTGGAAACGGAATGGGGTACCAGCGGTATAGCGCACATCATTGACGGATGCGTGGGCTACAAGATTCTTTTCAGCCGAAAGAAGGGCCGAAGCGACTTTCTCGAAGGTGAGTTCATTAGAGGGGAGCTGCTTGAGCATGGAACTGGTAACATTGTAAGCCGTGGTGAGTCCTAAAAATAACCCAGCTGCGGGTTCCTGTTCAGGGAAGGTGATCCCAATGTCCTTGAGTTCCTCATGGATGTTGCGAATTTCATATATATAGTTCGCATAAGAGCGCGGAGTCGGGATGTCAAGTGCATCCGGGTCTCCCTCAGGGGTAAGCAGTACGGACACGAGATGAGGTGAAGCAGCTGCTAGACACTGGAACTTCTCCTGCCTGTCGTCAAGGACGTCCGTGCCAAGGGCACACTCACCCCCGACGGACTGAGGACAGACAGACGCAGACTCAGCGACAAGACTAGCAGCGTAGTCTAGGCGACAGTGAGCAGCAAAGTCGACGAGCTCAGTAACGAGGGCAGACGCAGCAGAAGACTCGAAACAAGGGTCAGTGACGACAGTAGCAAGGAGACGCGTGACAGTAGGACTGGCAGCACGAAGAGAGTCCGACTCTGGGTCGGCAAGAGCAGGAAGAGAGGACGCAGGAAGAGAAGTGGACGGATGTAGAGACATCTAGTGCATGCCAGAGACAGGAGGAGGACGCTGACGCGAACCGCGACCACTAGCGCGAGCAGTACGAACAGGCGACGCAGGACGAGACGCAGGCTCACGACGCTCAGTAAGACCTCCAGTAGGACCAGCGTAGGGAGAAGGAGCAGGCAAAGGGGAGGCAGGCTGGAGCTGTGACTGTGACGGGACTGGCTGTGGACACTCTAAGGGAGGAGGAGGACCAGTAGAAGGTGGAAGACCAAGAACCTGCTGCAGGAGTGGAACGAAGTACGGTCAAGGCCGCGTGGCGTCGCCAGAAACAGCAAGGACAGTACCAGTACCCCCAGCAGGAGCACCCGCTCCAGCAGCACCTCCAGCAGCTCCAGAACCTCCAGCACCCCCATGCGTAGCACCCCCAGGCTCAGCACCCCCAGGCTCAGTACCCCTAGGCTCCGCACCCTCAGGCCCAGCAACCCCAGGTTAAGCACCCCCAGGCAAAGCACCCCCAGGCCCAGTACCCCCAGTCTCAGCACCCCTAGGCTCAGCACCCTCAGCAGCACCAGAGTCACCAGTGACCTCGACAGGCTCGACCGCGTCTACCTGTGACACACCTGAAGGGGCAGGACCCTGAGGGGGGAGGGGGTCTACCAGGGGGGGACCTGGTACAAGGAAGAGTGGGGGCGGGGGGAGGGACGGAGTGCGGTAGGGGAAGAGGCGGTAGTAGGGGACCGACTCGTCGATCGTGACGTCCTGGGAGGACAGAACACGGCGAGAGGTGGGGTGGTAGAACTGCCACCCAGGCACGTCAGGGGGGAACCCCAGGAAGACGCAAGGAGCAGTCGAGGGGACAGTTTGTCCGCAGACAAGTCGCGGACAAACGCCCGAGATCCCCAGACCCGGAACGCCGACGCATCGCCAACCTTCCCTGTCCACAGCAGAGCGGGGGAGGTCTCCGCCCGTCCTGGTCGCGCGCCACTGCCTCGACCCGTCGACGCCTGTGCGCCGCCCGTCCCGGCCCCACGCCGCCCGTGCACCGCCCGTCCCCGCCGTGCGCCGCCGTCCCGGCCCCACGCCGCCCGCACGCCGCCGTCCCGGCCCCACGCTGCCCCGGCCTGTCGACACCCGTGCGCCACCCGTCCCGGCCGCGCGCCGCTGCCCCAGCCCGTCGATGCCCGTGTGCCGCTCGTCCCGAACCCACGCCACCCGTGCGCTGCTCGTCCCGGCCGCGCGCCGCCGTCCCAGCCCCACGCCGACCGTGCGGTACCCGCCCCAGCCCCCACGCTGCCTGTCCCGGCTCTTCGCCGCCCGTGCGCCGCCTATCCCGGCCCGTCACCTGCTGCAGCAGCCGAGCCGCAGGCGAGCTGCCGAGCAGCCCAGCAGCCGAACCGCAGCCGAACCGCCGAGCAGCCCAGCGGCCGATCCGCAGAGCAGCCGAGCCGCTGAGCAGCCCAGCATCCGAGCCGCCCTTCTTCCGAGCCGCCCGACCTGCTCAGTCTGGTGAGCACAGCCCCTTGTGTCACTGCACTGCCCTCCACCCTACTGTTTGCACTGCCGGTCGTCGAGGGTCATGGCTACTCCCAGCGTCCTCGCCTTTGACCCTGAGAGTAGGGCCATCGACTTTGAGGTCTGGTTAGATGACCTGCATCTGTTCTTACAGTGCGATAGGGCAGACAGTCTCTCTCTCTTTGACCTCACCTCTGGCGCTGTCCCTGCCCCTGCTGCTGATGCTGACGCCACTGTTCGCTCCCAGTGGGCCACGCGCGACGCTGCTGCACGTCTTGCTGTGCGACGCCACCTCCCTACCTCTGAGCGTGCGCACTTTAGTCAGTACAAGAGTGCACAGACCTTGTACGACGCTGTAGTTGCGCGCTACTCCTCCCCTGCCACTGCTGCACTGAGCCGCCTCATGCTACCGTACCTCTTCCTTGACCTTGCTGCCTTTCCCACAGTTGCTGACCTCATTACGCACCTCCGCACTAGTGACGCTCGCTACCGCGCTGCACTACCTGCTGACTTCTGCGCCAAGAACCCCCCCCCCCCATGTACATCACCCTCTACTTCATAGTCATTCGTCTCCCTGACTCCCTTCGCGTAGTCAGGGACCACTTTCTCTCAGTCTGTCCCACCACTCTCACTGTCGACCTCATCGAGTAGTCCCTCCTAGCGGCCAAGAAGGGCATAGTCGCTGTAGGGGCCTCTCGTGGTGACCCGCGCACCCCCATCTTTGAGGGTGTTCCCCCTCCCCCCTTCTGCCCTCTGTTGCCTCTGCTGCTGCGGCCGACCTCCTTGGTCTTGAGTCGGTCGGTGCGGCGTCTGCCCCTAGCGGGAGACGCCGCTCTAGCAGGGGCAAGGGGGGCAGGGGCGCTGGAGGAGCGAGCGGGGGCAGTGGAGGTGGAGGTGGAGGCGGCGGGGGGAGTGGGGGTGGCGGTGGGGGTGGAGGTGGGGGTGGGGGTGTCGGTGACGGCTGTGGAGGCGGAGTTGGCGGCGGTGGGAGCGGCGGTGGCGGAGGTGGTGGAGGAGGCGGCGGTGGCGGGGGCGGCAGCAGTAGCGGAGGCGGCGGAGGCGGCGGAGGCGGCGGGGGCGGCGGAGGCGGCGGAGGCGGCGGGAGTGGCGGTGGAGCTGGTCGCGGGTCTTCGCAGAGGAGTGGCTCCGGTGGTGCCACGCGCCAGCAGCAGCAGCTAGGTCGTGACGGCCTGTCCCTTCAGCAGCTCTGATACCATGAGAAAACTGAAATGAGAATAAATGAACTATGAACGAAGTGAGTACAAATAGCAAACCCTAATTGGGTTGTACCCCCTATGGGATACCTCACTATAGCCTACACAACAGTATAAGCTATGAAGTTCTGACATCCTTCACCAAGAGGATCGGGAGGGAAAGGCATCTTTCCATTGCTGCGGTTGAGGAGGATGTCCATGAGGCAAATCTGTCAAACATTATATATGTTATGCTTGTGTAGGCTACAGTGGGTTAGCCTATAGGGGGTACACAATTCTAGGGTTTACTACTTGTACTCATTTCTCTTCTAGTTCATTCATTCCTGTTCACTTGTTTCACATGGTATAGAGCGGGTCCTTCCTAAGGACCGTTTTCTTAGGGCCCACCGAAGGGCGCCCCGAGGCGCGCATTTTTTTAGCGACCCCTCGGGTCGCCCTTTCCCTCGCGGCCCCGCTGTCCCTCAGACGCGGCCCCGCCACCCCTCCTGATCGCGGCCCCGCCGCCTGCTTGACACAGCCCCGCCGCCTCCACTGACGCGGCCCCGCCGCCGCCTCTGGCGCGGCCCTGCCGCACGCTACGTCGCGGCCCCGCCGCCTGCTTGACGCGGCCCCGCCGCCTCCACTAACGCGGCCCCGCCGCCGGCTTTGACGCGGCCCTGCCGGCCCGCCGCTGCACCTACCGGCCCGCCGCTGCACCCTTCGGCCCGCCGCCTCACCTGACGGCCCCGCCGCTGCACCCTACGGCCCGCCGCTGCACTCTACGGCCCGCCGCCTCACCTGACGGCCCCGCCGCTGCACCTGCCGGCCCACCGCTGCACCCTACGGCCCGCCGCTGCACCTTACGGCCCGCCGCCTCACCTGACGGCCCCGCCGCTGCACTCGCCGGCCCGCCGCTGCACTCTACGGCCTGCCGCTGCACCCAGCGGCCCGCCGCTTCACCTGACGGCCCCGCCGCTGCACCTGCCGGCCCGCCGCTGCACCCTACGGCCCGCCGCCTCACCTGGTCGGCCCGCCGCTGCACCCTACGGCCCCGCCGCTGCACCTGCCGGCCCGCCGCTGCACCGGTCGACCCGCCGCTGCACCTGACGGCCCCGCCCCTGCATCTCCCGGCCGAGCCGCCCCAGCAGCAGAGCCGCCCCAGCAGCCGAACCGCCCGGGAGCCGAGCCGCCCAACGCCGAGCCGCCCGGGACCCGAGCCGCCCTGCCGCCGAGCCGCCCGGGAGCCGAGCCGCCCTGCACCCGAGCCGCCCTGCCGCCGAGCCGACCGGGAGCCGAGCCGCCCTGCGCCTGAGCCGCCCAGCCGCCGAGCCGCCCGGGAGCCGAGCCGCTGTGCACCCGAGCCGCCCGGTCGCTGAGCCGCCTTTCTGCAGAGCTGCACGACCTGCCCTGCCTGGTGAGCACAGTCCCACTTACACTGCGAGCTCTTTCCCTACTGCTTGCACTGCGTCACTGTCGTTGCCATGGCTACCCCTAGTGTTCTAGCTTTTGACGCTGAGGGTCGCGCCATTGATTTTGAGGTCTGGTTAGACGACCTGCAGCTGTTCTTACAGTGCGACAGGGCTGACGACCTTTCTCTCTTTGACCTCACCTCTGGCGCCTCTCCTGCTCCTGGTGCTGATGCTGATCCCACTGTCCGCTCTCAGTGGGCCACCCGCGATGCTGCTGCACGTCTTGCTGTGCGTTGCCACCTCCCTACCTCTGAGCGTGCGCACTTTATTCAGTACAAGAGTGCTCAGACCTTGTACGACGCTGTAGTTGCACGCTACTCCTCCCCTGCCACTGCTGCACTGAGCCGTCTCATGCTTCCCTACCTCTTTCCTGACCTCTCTGCCTTTCCCACTGTTGCTGACCTCATTACGCACCTCCGCACTAGTGACACTCGCTACCGCGCCGCCCTTCCTGCTGAGTTCTACGCTAAGAACCCACCCCCCATGTACATCGCTCTCTACTACGTAGTCGCGCGCCTCCCTGACTCCCTTCGCGTCGTCAGGGACCACTTTCTCGCAGTCTGTCCCACCACCCTCACCGTCGACCTCCTCGAGAAGGCCCTCCTCGCAGCGGAGAAGAGCATAGTCGCTGTAGGTGCTTCTCGTGGTGACCCTCGCACCCCCATCTTTGAGGGGTGCTCTCCTTCCCCCTTGCTGCCCTCTGTTGCCTCTGCTGCTGCTGCCGACCTGCTTGGTCTTGAGTCGGTCGGCACGGCGTCTGCCCCTAGTGGGAGATGTCGCTCCAGCAAGGGCAAGGGGGGCAAGGGCGCGGGTGGAGCTGGAGGGGGCGGTGGCGGTGGCGGCGGTGGCGGCGGAGGGAGTGGGGGTGGCGGCGGGACTAGTAGCGGGGGTGGTGGTGGTGGTGGCAGCAGCGGCGGAGACGGTGGTGGTGGTGCCAGCGGTGGTGGTGGAGGCAGCGGCGGAGGTGGAGGCGGCGGAGGTGGAGGCGGTGGAGGCGGCAGCGGAGGAAGCGGTGGTGGTGGAGGAGGTGGAGCTGGTCGGGGTGGTACCCAGCAGCGTCGCGGCGGTGGTGGTGGCCAGCGCTCACAGCGGCAGCAGCAGCAGCGCTCGCGGGACATCCCTCCGCCTCAGCAGCTTCGTGAGTGGTACGCTGGGCGTCAGAGGGGTGGGGGTACTGGTCCCTGCACCTACGTTCTTCGTTCCGGCGACCACGCGGGTGAGCAGTGTGGGGGTGCCCACGCCACCCAGCGCTGCTTTGGCCGCCTGACGGACGCTTGGCGTCAGCAGTTCTTTGGGGCTAGTGAGATCCCTCGCTGGGATGAGCTTCTAAGGGCTGGTGTAGCGATCTTTGATCTTGATTTTGATGCTATCCTTGCTGCTATGTATGCTGTGGATTATAGTGAGGAGAATGAGGGTTACCGGTGTTTCCAGCCCGACCCGGGCATTGGTACTGCTGCGCTAGGTGCTTGTGAGGCTGCTGCTCTAGGTGCCAGTGCGTCTGCGCTCTCAGGTACTGGTGAGACTGCGCTCTCAGGTACTGCGTCGCCCTCGTCCTCCCTCAATTTCACACTTGACTCAGGGGCTTCACTCTCCTTCTTTCGAGACCGCACTACCCTTACGCCGCTTGAGGGTCCTCCTGGAGCTGCGGGTCCTCCTGGAGCTGGAGCTGCTGAGGGCGTTGGTGCTGAGCCTACTGCTGTTGGTCCTGCCGCTGGAGGTGTGGGTGGCGCTGGTGCTGTCGCTGAGGGTGCTGGTGCTGTCCCTGCTGAGTCTAGAGCTGCTGCGCGGCCTCGGCCGTACTTCGTTCCGCTCCTGCAGCAGGTTCTTGGTCTTTCTCCTCCAGTAGAGGGTCCACCACCTGTCCAGTCGCAGTCCCTGCTGGAGCCTTCCTCTCCACTGCCTGCTCCCTCTCCTTACACTGGTCCTACTGGAGGTCTTGCTGAGCGTCGTGAGCCTGCGTCTCGTCCCGCGTCGCCTGTTCGTGCTGCTCGCGCTAGTGGTCGCAGTTCGCGTCAGCGTCCTCCTCTTGTCCCTGGCACGCACCGGATGTCTTTGCGTCCGTCCACTGCTCCTCTGCGCGCCCCTTTGCCTTCTCCTCCTGAGTCCTCTCTTCCTGCGCTTGCCGACCCTGAGTCGGACTCTCTTCGTGCTGCCAGTCCTACTGTCACGCGTCTGCTTGCTACTGTCGTCACTGACCCCTCTTTTGAGTCCACTGCTGCGTCTGCTCTAGTCGCTGAGCTCGTCGACTTTGCTGCTCGCTGTCGTCTCGACTACGCTGCTAGTCTTGTTGCTGAGTCTGCGTCTGTCTGTCCTCCGTCCGTCGGGGGTGAGTGTGCTCTTGGCACGGACGTCCTAGAGGACAGGCAGGAGGAGTTACAGTGTCTAGTGGCTACTTCACCTCATCTCGCGTCTGTACTGCTTGCCCCTGAGGGAGACCCGGATGCACTAGACATCCCGACTCCGCGTTCTTACGCGGAGGCCGTAGAGGGTCCATACTCCTCTCAGTGGCAGGCAGCTATGGATGCAGAGATGGCTTCCTGGAGGTCCACAGGCACCTACGTTGACGCGGTTCCCCCTCCTAGGGCGAACATCGTCAGTGGCATGTGGATCTTCAGGGTGGAGCGGCCGCCGGGCTCTCCACCTGTCTTCAAGGCACGGTACGTTGCTCGTGGCTTCAGTCAGCGGCAGGGAGTTGACTACTTCCAGACCTTCTCTCCCACCCCGAAGATGACTACTCTTCGGGTGCTGCTGCACATAGCCGCTCAGCGCGACTACGAGCTTCACTCTCTCGACTTCAGCACTGCGTTCTTGAAGGGTAGCCTGCACGAGGAGATCTGGCTTCGCCGTCCACCCGGCTTCACTGGGACTTTCCTTCCTGGCACCCAGTGGAGCCTCCGACGGCCAGTCTACGGTCTCCGCCAGGCACCGCGTGAGTGGCACGACACACTGAGGACTACGCTTGCGGCTCTTGGGTTTGCTCCTTCTTCTGCTGACCCGTCGCTGTTTCTTCGCACCGACACTTCCCTGCCGCCATTCTACATCCTCGTGTACGTCGACGACTTGGTCTTTGCCACAGCGGACACTGCTGGACTCGCCTACGTGAAGTCCGAGCTGCTGAAGAGACACACGTGCACAGACCTGGGTGAACTGCGCAGCTACCTTGGCTTGCAGATCACTCGGGACAGAGCACGCCGCACCATTACCTTGACTCAGTCACACATGGTGCAGCAGGTCCTTCAGCGCTTCGGCTTCACGTACTCCTCGCCTCAGGCCAATCCTCTGCCTACTCGCCACTCACTCTCAGCTCTGCCTTTGGATGAGTCCGTAGAGTCGAGTGGTCCGTATGCGGAGCTTGTTGGCTGCCTCATGTACCTGATGACCTGCACACGACCTGACCTTGCATACCCTCTGAGCATTCTTGCACGCTATGTTGCTCCTGGGAGACACAGACCGGAGCACATGGCTGCAGCGAAGAGGGTATTGCGCTACCTGTGCAGTACGTCGGGCTTGGGGCTAGTGCTTGGAGGGCGGAGTCCAGTGGTCCTTACCGGCCACGCGGACGCTTCTTGGGCTGACGACCAGGCTACGCAGCGGTCGTCACAGGGTTACACCTTCAGCCTTGGTTCCGGCTCTGTCTCGTGGCGGTCTACTCGCTCGTCCTCGGTTCTCAGCTCCAATTGTGAGGCTGAGATCTACGCCGGGGCCATGGCTGCACAGGAGCTTTGCTGGCTCACCTACCTGCTGACTGACCTTGGAGAGCCGCCTCGTTCTCCTCCAGTGCTGTACGTAGACAACAAGGCCATGCTGGCCTTGTGTCGAGAGCAGCGCTTGGAGCACAGAACGAAGCACATTGCTTTCCGCTACTTCCTTGCTCGTGAGCTGCAGCAGCGTGGTCAGTTGCGACTTGCGTACGTGGCCTCTGAGGCCAACACTGCTGATGTGTTCACCAAGGCACTCGCGCCTTGTGACCATCAGCGCTTTTGCACCCAGCTGGGTCTTGTGCCTGTCTTGCCTCACTTGCTCTCCTCTTGACTTTACTTGTACTGTGACATATATATATACCTGCTCTTGCTTGTCTAGTTTTATATACATGTCTGTACTCCTGCATGTGAACTGGCCTCTGGCCCTGCTCTTGTGCTCGGACTGTGTGGTGACTTTGTGATCCACCCTGAGCTTGCTTTACTTTGCTTGACTGGTCTTGTGACCCCTTGTTCTCCCCCACTTTGCCTATGGGGGTGTGTCAAACATTATATATGTTATGCTTATGTAGGCTACAGTGGGTTAGCCTATAGGGGGTACACAATTCTAGGGTTTACTACTTGTACTCATTTCTCTTCTAGTTCATTCATTCCTGTTCACTTGTTTCACAAAATCCCCTTCACCTCCGTGCTAAGGAGGTGCTTCCTGACTCAGTAGCACCATCTTCCAAAGTTGGTGTTCGTGTCGTTGGGAGCAAGATTGAGAACAATGAGATTTCCGACGAGGGTGGAAGTTGAAGTCGCCATTTCCCATGGAGAGCAGCGCTAAAGACTCCGATTTTTTAATGAATGAAGTCCGAAACGCAATTTCGGTAATACAAAGCCCAGATTCTGGTCTGCTGCTCCGCTTCGCCAATGCCCCCTGTTCTGCTTCGCCGCTGCCCCAAAACCGCTTCTCTGCTGCGCCGCTGAACCTGTTCTGCTGCGCCGCTGACCTGTTTTGCAACGCCGCTCACCTGTTCTACTGCGCCGCTGAAAACCTGTTCTTGACGAGAAATTTCCCGACGGAAATGTAAATGTCTTGACGCTTACGATGAAAGACGTGGAAGAGAACGAATCGCGGTAGAAATCGGAAGAGCCCAAAGATGGAATGTGAATGCGCTCTTGAAATGTAAGAAGACGTAAAGTTGGAAAACGCTAGGCCTAGGAGCCGAAAACCGAAAGAGTTACAGAAGAAATGAGGAGGACCATCACGGCGCCAAGAATCGGATTCTGCAAGAGTGGAACTTTTTAGCTCGATACCATGATAGAAATGGAGCTGAACTGATTGATTAGTAGATAAGGCAATAGGCCTTAAGTACCAACAAGGTTGGGTTGAGCAAAGCTAGAAAAAGGATAGGATGGGAATCCAAGAAATCTCCAATTGGTGAGTTGGCAGATTTGCAAGATAACGAGGGAATCCCAACCACATATGGTTGGGATTATAAACTACACCCTACCCAAAAAAAACCTACGTAATATAGAATATTGTACACAAAGTGTTCACAGCCCATTTCTTACAGGAGGTACTGAATGGAGTCGTGGTGTGAAAATGAAAGGGAGCTGTGTTGGGTGCAAATTCATATTGCACGACATCCTGCCGTCTGTTTGTACGAGTATGCGTGTGCGAATGCATTTGGGTGTGAATGGAATGTTCGTGTGTTTGTTTGCTTTCGCAACTTTCGCTTGAAGCATTTGCAGGTACTCGCGCATTGTGCGCTTCGGCACAACATTGTATGCGATATGAACAGTACAAGCAGAAAGGACGAGCTCGCAAAGGAACCCAGGATGGAAGCTTTGCGGTTCGGTTGAACTGATTGTGCAGATTCAGTTCTATCCAACTCGAAATTGTAATATTTTGTTTGGTTGACTATGATGTAGCAGCGCAGGCAATATAATGGTACCATTTAGGTGAAGGTTGGATGCTGTTTGTCTGTATCTGCATGCTACAGGGCCAGGGGAAACCAGCGGAACCAGCTTTTGGCTGGTTGGGCAAAGACGAAACAGGTTCTGTTTTTAGGACCTGAACCTGGTTGTTGGTGTCCCAGGATTGAAAAACAGAACCAGAGGTTGTTTACCAACCTACCACCTGCTGTTTTGTCTAGCCAGATTGGTTCTATTACTTGGAATTATTTGGGATCGTCCTTGGTTGTTCCCTGGTTCATTTCCAAGGTCCTTGCTAACTAAAACTATTTATTCCTTCTCTGTTTGAACCTGGATATAGTCAATTTGATTCAAGCGAATTCCTCCCTTCCTGGAATTTGGTTTATATCGATGCGACGGCGGAATGCTACCCAAGTCAATGCTAGTACGCTAGCACTCCAACGCTAAGCCAACGCTGTACAAGAAATAACTTTGCAATGGCAAAACTTTTCGCGAGGCAACTTGCCTCATTTTAAAGCTCCTGGAGGGAGCTTCGATATAGGAAATTCTCAGCTTAATCCGATCGTCAGTCTGCACGATACGCTGTGCGACGTTCAAGGTACTCTTGCTTTTTTTACCAAGTCCTTCTTGATCCCTCTCTCTACAA